GGGAGGGTCCTGCGCGCCGGCCGCCCGGCAGGCTGACGAACCGGACAGCAGGAGCAGGCAGAGCGACTGGAGACGGCATGCTCGGCGTCCTCCGGCTCCTCCGGTGGTGTTTCCACAGCTTGTGTTGGAAGAGTCCATTTTATTCCGTATTACAGAGAATTGCCATCTGTTCCCTTAACACAGCTATTCTTTTATAACAATTCGGTGTTTTCATAGCACCTTTCCCTCAGATCCTGAACAACTTTCATTTTATCCACCCGCTATCCAAAGATGACACCAACCTCTGAATACAGGTGGAGTGGTGCGTTACACGCTGCTGTGGCAGAAAACATTGCTGCTGCTGCTAAAGTCTGCACAGAAAATGTTAGCGTGCAGATGAAATAACATGTTCTTAATAGTGCACTTACTGCCTTTCATACAACATCTTACAGCATTGGTCTTGAACTATTTTGTATTTACACCACCTATTGCCATGCTTGATGAGAGAAAATAACAAAGCTGGGACTGGAGACACAGAATGCGTAAACCTATGCCTAATACCGGCCTTAGCAAAGGAGTTTGTGTTCTCAGAAACTAGCCAACTGTTCTCAGTAATGGCGAACCCTCGCTCCATTATGTTCCTTTTGTTTTAGGGTAGAAATTCAGAAAGTCAAGAATACTTGCAGAAGGTAAATAATTTTAGTGCCATGATACACATTCAACTTGCTTGACATTCCACCCAAGTTTCTTCATACAGTGTCATTCCAAATTCCTGTATCGCCATGCAGGTGCTCATCATCCTTTGACCCATTAAGAACAGTTGTCACTGCAGTTGCCAGTTTGTGGCTTAAATGTTCAACACTGATATTTTCAGCTGTAATATTTAAAGACATCAGTTATTTCTGCTTTTAAACACCAAAACATCACAGAAGTCACTAAATAGTTTTGAAATAAGTCACCTAGAGTAAGCTGTGAATTCTGCTTTTGATTATACAGTTCTAATCTGCAATAATTAAATGAACTACCAAACAGGCGGAAATACTGTGCAAGTTACATAGTTAATAGTTTAAAGATAAAATGCTTTCCAAAAATTTTAATATGAGTTTTGCCTAGAAAAGAAAGACCAATTTAAAAAAACAGAGAAGAAAGTTTCTCAGAACAAAAAGAAGAAAAAATTAAGTATGTCATTACTTTTAAGCTAATTTAATTAGCGCAAAAGTTTATTTTCTTGAGGTGCCAATTCTGAACATAAAAGGTATAAATAGATATTCAGGGAAATTAAATCCTCCTTAGACAAATAGTTCACGCAATAATGGGCACAACGGACAGGAAGGAATAGGGGGGACGAACAAAAAAATCCCAACAACAAAACAAAAAACCAACTTGTCTGGAATTAATCCAGATAAGCCTTGCCTCTTCATAGCCAGCACCAAACAGTCTTTCCTTCTAAAAACTGCAGGTGATATGGTACTTACTTAACAGAAATCAAAGCGAGGAAAAAAAGGCGACTAAGAAAGGATAAAACCAATGCAAACAGATACAGAGAACATCTCAAGTGTTCTTGAAGAAGTCAGGCCTTGTGGTTGACTATGCAGAAAGTGGAGTTACTTAAAAGATACTTATGTGCTATGAATGCTGTTAACACTGATTTCCTTTTTCTTTGGCACCTTAAGTACTGGAGACAAACTTCAAGTACAACAGCAGCCGAAATTTTTCTATAAAGCTAAAATTACAAGACATCAACAGATTTTTTGGGGGCAAAACAAGTCCTCTTGCGCAGGAATCAAGACCTTAGTACTTACTAAAAACTTTGTCTACTGAATTTTACCTCCATATATGACAGATTATTTAATCCTTGCTGTAACCAAAAACAACATTTGGGTATTCACATTCTGAATAGACAATACTGAAAAAGAACAATACCAAAAAACTCACCAGAGTTTCCTTTGTATGCGATACCGTGCTGACTTAATAAATCTTTAAGTTTTTTTATTTCTTTAGAAAGTTGCTTGTATTCCTAAGAAAGAAAATACATTTAAAATGGCTCTCCCACTCTCCAAATCCATACATAAAATGGGAGTTTATAAAAAATAATGGGTCTGTGCACAGCTGTTACAGCTTTCAACTTAAAAGATCTTAAAGATAAACTGCTTATTCCAAGAACAAGGTGCAAATTTTATAAAAAGATATATTTCTATGTTGCCAAAACAGGAGCCATGTTTTTACTCTCATGCCTGAGAGTAAAAATTAGGAGTGCTTTCTGTAACTATTTTGGATCTATCCTCTAACTAGCATTTTATCATAGCACAAAATTGCATTCTTAAGTTTGCTACAGGACCTTATTTTATTTTATATCATAATGCTACAGTCTGGAAATTTGTCACCTCCTCAACTACTAACTTCATGTTCTCACTTTCAGCATTTCTGTTAACTTACAGAGCCAGGGATTGCTTAGTACTTTTGAGACTCAAACCACATTATCTGTAATCTCGAAGAAGGCACAATTTTTTTCTTGTGTTTTGGTTATTACATGAATCAGGAAAGAGCAAAAGATTAACTATTTAAGATTCTGTGGTTACCAAACAGGCAACTTTACGTCAATTAAGCTATGATGAAGCCAGAAGTAGTAGTACAAATTATTAAATACTGTATTGTTAACTATTGAAAAAAAAAATAGGTGAATATAACAGTACCACATCAAAATGGTGATCTTTATATAAGTATATTCAGCTTAACCACAGTTTATTTGGTTATATTCAGGAATTACTATGTGGTGTTTTTTTCTTTGCTACATTTTCAAATAAAATGACAACAGCAGCTTCCTCTCTGCATTATAATGAATTAATTCCCCTCCATGCTCTTTTTCTGATGTTCAGCTTGCACTCTTTTAGGCTGAGCACACCTTCTACCTCTATTTTCTCCATTTCAATTCTGTTGCAGGACTGTTCATACACATGAAAGTCATTCAGAAATGGACACAGCATAGATCATTCTGCCTTTTGCTTGTGTAACAGCCAACGCATTCTGACACAAGTCTGGGTAATTATCCACAGAGAGAAGTGTCAATACTCCCAAGGCTGGTTACACATTTATTTTCACTAGTAATTCATTCCTGTTTCCAGACTGATATTCCCCAGAAAGAATACTTACAAGGTGTTCATAACCCAAGCGTGTACACTAATTCCTACACCCCCCCCCCGCCATCTTCTTACTGGGCGTTCAGTTGTGCTGGTTTGTTTTTGACTTAAAGGCTAGCATAAAGACATCAAATCACTCTGTATGCAGACTGTTACATATTGAAACCAGAAAAGATAATCCCATGAACAGATTTCAGCTGAACCCAAAGAGTATTTACATAATGCTGTCACACTGATACTGTCATACAGTAAAAAGGTGGCAATTTAATTCCACATTGTAAATACTATGCTCTATACCTTACTGCACTTCTCCACTGTTTCAAATTCCAGACTTATTTTCTTATTCTGTTTCTCAACTTCCTTTTCTTCTGTTGCTTTTAGAAGTCCTGCTTCTTCAAAAATCTCTTTTAGTATTTTTTTGTATCCCTAAAAAAGAAAGTTTCCAAACGACAACAGATCAATCCATGCAACTTTCATCTCTGCTTGTAATTTGCACTGGCTACTCCAATTCCTCAAGCTTCACTGTAGAAAACATTACAATTACCAGTTGATACAGCAGTTACTAAGCACAAAAATTACTATTTGGCAACTGCAGAATAAATGCATCCATTCCAAAAGGAGAAACTGCAGAAGTCACGGGCTATGTGACAGTAATTGTTCTTTACCAAATAGAGTTGGAAGAAATTAACAAACCTGGTCAGTTATTAGTTCATCACACAGAAGCTGCTCTGCTTCATCCCACTTCCTTTGTAGTGCTTCAGTCAGAGTCGGATAAACTGAAAAATGGAAGTCAAACCATGTAAAAACCAACAGCACTGTCCTGCATTAGTTAAATGCTCCTCTAGTAGCATGCAATTGTATTTGTTTTAAGAACTCCATGTTTCTATACAGTACTTAGTCTCTACTGCTTTCAAGAGTTGGGGTTAAACTTAAATTCTGCTTCACATATTCAAAGTTTCTGGAGAATGCCACCGAGCAAAAATTTTTCTCTTATTTCCAGCTAGAAGGCCTCATAGTTGAATGTAATTCTAACTGAGCTCTCCCTTTTTGTAATGTAAGTTAATGAGCAGATACTACAGGGCTGATTCCTATGACCAGTCTAAGAAAAAAGCAAAAAAATCACTCAACTGGGTCTATACTAGCAAAGACAATTTATTTGAGAAATACCTATGTGTTATAATGATTGGGATTGAAAATACACTTTGTAGTATATGTTACACTTAATACTCATTTATAGCAAGTTAGAAACTCAAAGAACCTGCAAATTTACACTCTGAGGTTGGTGTAATATGCCAGCTGCTCCACACGCAAATGATTTTCTAAATCTTACCTAAAAGAGAGTGGGGATGGCACACGAGAGGAGTCTCAAATGTCAGAGAGTAAACACAAGTACTCGGCTCAGACACATAAGCCAATTTATTGCTCTTTCCACAAACAAGATGAACCTAAACATCAGTAAAACCAAAGATGAGCGAAACACCTCCACATGAAACAGGACCAGCATGGATGATCAATTTGCTCTCTTCCAATGTTAGCAGATGCATTTCTGTACATACTGTCATGTCAAAGCTTCCAGTGCTGTCACCCACAGAAAAAGAATCATAGCAAGCACATTTTCAAATTATTTTATCATATGTGAAAATTGCTTCCTCTAACGGGAAATGATCCCCCCACATATCATTGTTCCTTGGACTCCCAGGCACCATATTTCCAGCAAGAATGAGAGTAAAAAGGAGAATGAATAGGACACCCTTTAGAACCTCATCTGACATAAGTCTGATCAATGTGCTAAATAAAAAGAACAATACACATCTAGCCTGTAGAAATTTGTTTTCATCTTTAAACTTGCAGCACCAGCATTTTCTGTCTGTTCAAAACTAAATGCCAGTGAAAGATTTGAATCACAATATCAAAGGTCATACAAGAATAGTAATTCTTTCTGTAGCCCCTACAGGAAATAAAGATGTTAGCAAGGCACCTCCATTACAGTACAGAATATTTTCACCTTGGTAAAGATATTTTGTCCCTCATCCCATCTTCACATTAGTTATTATTCCAACTATATATCCTCCCATTGTATTGTCACCCATCATTGTAATAGCTAAGCATCTTCTACACGAAAGGCAGCCTGTTGTGAACTATATGGTATCTTTAACTCTTCTTCACGATAGCGATCTATGTCACCAGGGAATGTGAGGTTTAATTCATTGTATCTGTAAAACTGTATAACACACTGGAGGTGGAAAAACATTCATGAATAAAAGGATAAAGGACGTGTGCAAATCATGTGCCACACATTGGGCAAGTCTCAGACACCCTTCCTTACCCTTCTAGTTGAATAGTTACTTGGCACAGAGACTGTCTGAATGTGAAAAGGAACATTTTAACCACTCCACAAAATAAGAATTTTTACTTTTGCTTCAAATGTACTCACACCAGAATCTGTTTTTCTTGAGGGTTCCTCTGCCACTCCCATATATTTGATTCCTTCCTTAATTCTCCTTGCATGCCCTCTGCTCTTGTTTTAACACTTTACTTAGCTTCTCAGCACGCTGCTGTTAACTGCCTAATTCTTTTCCCTCCTTTTTCCTGTATGTCCTTAGCACAATAGGCTGGCATCTTGAATTCAACAAATAGCTCTTTTTCTTTACTTTTCCTGACACAAATTACAAAGCACCGTATGTTTCTACAGGAGTGATAATACCAGAATATTCCACTCTATCAAGGAAAAAAAGAGTTAAAAGTAACCAGTGAGAATACATAAGTAAACTTCTCCAGAATTTTATGCTGATTTTAGCTTCCTTTCTCCATCCGTTCACCAAGCTCCTACAGCAATTCATCTTTATGTTTTATATCACATCTTAAATGATGACTTCTTCAAGGTACGAATGTTTTAGTCTGTAGAGTGTCATGAGTGTGTGTGGAGAGTCATGCTGTCTGAATTAGCATAGTCTAGTTATTATACCTTTGTCTGTCTGCTCTTAGTTTCACATGAGTCTCCTTCCCTCATCCACATTCCAACAAATGTGTTGTTGTCAATTTCCCATTCATGCCAGATTCTGAAAAAACAGGACATCATTTTATTTTAAGTTACTGGAAAGAAAAAGGTGAACACTCAAGAAGAAAAACAGGAATACCCTTACACCATGTTCAATTTAACTGTATATACTTCATTTTTGTTGTCTTAGTATTTCCATTTCTTACAGCCAAGACCTTATAAACAGTGTAGTTTGTTATGCAGGCTGCTATAAAGGGCACATCAACATTACTTCGAAAGCACAGTTTTGGATCAGCTTTCAGTTTACAAACCATTTGCACTTACAAATCCATGTTTAAATTCAATAAAATACAGCTTATAGATCAATCCCACAACAAATGATGCTAAGTACCCTCGGGTTGTTTGCAAGATTTTTAGTGCTAGTGAGAGCACCTACAAAAACTAGTCTCTACTTCTGTTAGTCCTAAAGCCAATGATACTCTCAGCATCTTGATGTACCCTTTTCCTCTCACATTGGCTCACTAATTATTGTGCACATAGGAAAAAAAGAGACATCTATATACGAAATATTTAGAAAGGCAGTAATTTTAAAGCAGTGCTCTGGTTTATAATTAAATTTATTTTAGGTTTTATGATTTGGATACTCTGGGGTCTTTGAATACTTTGTGATACTTTTCTGGGTCTACATTGAGTCTTGTATTACCTTTTATTAAATATGTTTAACACAACCACTAGGCATAAAGCACTCATTTCATTTTGTAAGGTTATATTCAGCTCAAAGTGAAAATAGTTAACAGACATGAAATCTTTGTTAATAGGAGCTGTAGTTATACACTATTGAATTTCTCACATGAACATATCACACCTGCAGTTGGCACTGATGATTAATCAGCCTTCAGCTAAAATAGGAGGTTAGTATTTATCAACAAAAAAATCTTAATTTTTCAAGATGGGGTATTTTTATGCATAACGCCTTGGAAACTACAATGACCTAAGCTGACCAACAAAAGAACCTTAATTTTAAAACTGCCTCCTTTTTGACAATCTATAAAATGGTCTTCTAACAACATAGGTAAAAAAGGTCTAAAAGCCTCACCCTAAAATCCCACTATAGGCATTCCATCGAAAAGTCTGCTCATGCTGAGTGACATTATGGAAAGGACAAAACTCATACTTGTACCTTAAAAGAAAAAAAAAAGAAAAGAAAAGAAAAAGAAAATAAGAAATGTTTCAGACTGAAATAGAAAACTAGTTTGTTCCTAACAAATATATATAATCAAATATCCAAATCCATTACTCACGTGGATTCCACAAAACTGAAACACTTGCCAGCAAGCCTAAAGAGATGTGCAGGGCCTAAAAACACCACAAAATTACATCAAGGAAGAATAATGTTTTGGTTAAATTTAAGCAAGTTATTGTGGTGACAAAACTGCAAGGAGTATGTGACAAATTTAGTTTTCTGCCGTACATAAGGAAATTTGTATCTTCCATATGGATTACTGTATGTTCCCAGTAGTGGTATATTGGTTTGCATCATGATCTTTAACATTTTTCATCTTCAATACTCAGTGAAATAGATAAGCCTCTCTCTACGACAGAAGTAAGAAACCGGTATACAAACAAATATTCAGAGGCCAGATCCATAAAAGGACTCATCAATGCAGATCTTGCCAAAAATCTAACATGGAAATCACTAGAACGCTTGCTTGGCAGCTGTCTGTCCCCAAAATCATCCAAACTTCTCAAGTTTATACTAGTAAAGCCCGTTTGCTCAGAATGTCGACAATGCTGCATATTTAAGTTTCACTGAGATTCTCGAACTAGGTATTCCTTTTCACACTTTGCCTTCACGGTCTGATCCAGTTAGTAACCTTTTACTGTCAGACAGGTCAGCAGTTACATTCTACTCTTGCAGAATTGACCATTCGAGCCTTGCTGTCAAAGGAATCCAAGACAGGTAACTTGTCATTCAAAAAAGGGCCAAAAAGTCTGAACTATGCACTACAGGGGTATTTCAGTGTCCCTTGCTTAAGGTAATTTTGCATGGAATGATTAAATATTTGTGAGGAAAAGAGAAGAAAAGAGATTATAAAGCAAATAAAATAAAACCCCATCCTGGGTTCTAATTCCCCACTGTCATGCTCACCTATGTACTTTTTCCAAAGATCTAGACAAGCAATCCTAGAAACAAAGATCAGACCACCAGAAATCATACCCTCTGGAATGCCCTAACCACTGGGATACCGGTTCTCTTTCCCATTTTTCTGACTGTATGATCCTGCATTTCATTCTACAGATTATCACAGGCTTGGCCAAAGGGTTTGACCCTCTACTACATGCAATCTGTGCCTTAGTGATTAGGATGCTCTCCCCACAGAGAAAGAAAAGCAAATTTGAATGTCCCTGAGGAATGCATTAAACTCATGCCTCCATTTCCTGGGCAGATGCTCTAAAAGAGAAATTATAGGAGCTATTACCTCAACTGTCTTGTAAAAGAAAAGAATGGGTAAGGTTTCCATGGTAAAGAAATAATTGTGCAAGACAGGGTTCCATGCCCTAGATTCCAGTTCCACAGACACTCCCAATTTTTGGCTACACATAAGTTCCCACATCCAGGAAAGAAGGATTTGTAGCGTACTGTCCTTTTAACTTTTTTCCTGCTATTTTTGGCATCTTTCCATTCAGTATTCTAACTATTACTGATCCCATTTCTAACTATTTCACTTTTCACATGCAGTACATGCAGAATTTATACATTTGATTTGGGTTTATAAAACATGACAGAAGACATTAAGTGTAATCACGTTCAATGTCACCATACCAAAATGCCTTTCTTGAACCTGAACAAGGTTTAAGTCTGTGCCTAAGGCTAGCAGAGAGACAAGAGTTATTTCCTTTTGCTCACTGTTTGCATCAGTGTGTATTTTATCTGCTCCATAAATGGTCTAGAATTTTTTAGATTCCTGTTTATTTTGCTAAAGTGGAGGATTTATATTGCAGCACCCAGGCTTTGTGTGTGAAACTGAGCCTCTGTGATTTGTTCCAAGACTACTCTTAGGGCTTTCTTCAAAACAATTTTTGAGTACCAAGTACTATCAGATGATGGGATGACTTTTATATGGCAATCTCAAGGATGTCGGAGATTGTTTGAAGAAGAAAAAAGTTTTTAGTAAGGATCAGAAGGACCTGTGACTGGCTCAAAAAACACAGAATAAAACATATGGATAGCACTGTGACAAAAGCAGTCCAAACAGCACTAGGACATGGAACACCAAAGAGGTTAATCTTGGTTTTAACCCTTCAGAAGCACAATAAAATATATTTGCCCATGCTTACTTTTCACGATGCTCATAAAATGACAAGTAAAATTAGTCTTTGCATAAAGTCAAAGTAGACTATTCTGCAAAGGACTGTCACTAAAGGATGAAAACTGTACAAAAAAGGTAACACTTGCATATACCTGATATTGCAGATGGGGACATCTTTGGCTGCAGCCTATTTGTTTGAGGCAAGAATGGGTTATTCAACCTTTCAAAAGAAGGAAAGTTAAACGTTTAAGATTGAGTTACGCACCTGGCTATGGTTACACCCTCCCCTACCCGAGGGTCCCAACACCTACAGCCGCGCGGGGAGCGGCGACCCCTGCCCGCCTGCCCACCAGCGGGGTGGGCAGAAGCGCCCGGCCCGGCC